TATTTTGTAAATAATATTATTTTGTCTAATTGGGTCAACTGGGTCCTTTAACCTACAGAGCTTGTCCCTGAGTGAGTTTGTAGGTTTAAATGCCACCCTAATTCCTATTTTATTCAGAATCCTACGTAGTGTCTCAGATGTCCCCTCTTTATATGGTATAACTGTGGATGACTTATATTCTTTCTTATTTATGTTATTATTACTAGTTTCACAATTATTTTTATTTTGTTTTTGGCCTTTAATGATCTTCCTAATGAATTTTATAGGATAGTTATTCAACACCAACGCTTCTTCTATCTGTTTTAATTCATCATTTAGATCTTTTTTTGTGCTACTTAGTGCCACTGCTCGGTTTGTTAAACATTTAACTAAGCCTGCCTTAACAGTTAAAGGATGAGACGAATTAAAGTCTAAATATCTATTAGAATGCGTTGGTTTTCTATAAACACTAGTGTGTAGTTTGCCTTCTTCTATTCTTTTTATCTTACAATCTAACATAGCTAATTCTCCTTGTTCATTTTCTGATTCAAATGTGAATTTTATTCCCTCAACTTGTGAGTTTATATGTGTCAAGAAGCTAGAGATGTGTTCTGTTTTTAACACTGTGAAAGTGTCATCCACATATCTCCACCATATTTTCGGAGTAGGGTTAAATGTATTGAGGGCACTATTTTCCCAGCTGTCCATAAATATGTCTGCTACGATAGGGGATATTGGTGATCCCATTGCTACACCTTCTGTTTGTCTATATATTTTGTCTTGGAACTTAAAGATAGTAGATGTGAGGCATAACTGAATCCCTAAAATAATTTCTTCAATGGACAGCTTTGTCCTATGACTGAGTTCCGGATCCGCAGTTAATTCTTTTTTAACTGCTTCTAAGGCCATATTAACTGGTATATTAGTATAAAGACTAGTTATATCAAAACTAACCATTTTTTCATCATTTTCTAGTTGAATGTCATTTAGCTTACTTTTCATCTCATATGAATTAGTTAGTCTAGAGTTTGAGCGATTTCTAATGGGACAAAGTATTAGAGCTAAGTGTTTTGATAATTCATAAGTGGGGGTATTTCTAAAATCTACTATTGGTCTTATGGGGTAACCTGGTTTATGTATTTTAATAGTACCATATATTCTACTAGTATTATTAGTTTTAGGCATTAAAGTAAACCATTTAGACTCACCCAGTGACGGCTTCATTCTCCGTAATAATTCCGCTGTAGATTTCTTTACCTTATTCATTATTGTATCTACAGGCTTCCTAATTTCCTCATATGGACCCGTTTCAATATGTTCACTGACTTTCTTGATATAGTCAGATTTATTCAGAACTACGGTGGCGTTTCCTTTGTCCGCTTTTGCGATGACAATATTTTTATCCTGTTTTAGACTAATTAAAGCTTCCCTTTCTGATTTTGTTAAGTTTGATCTTGCCTTCTTTTGATTTTTCAGGGTTAACGCACATTGTGCTCTAACCTCTTCTGCTGTTGTCTTGTCTATTGAACCTAGTGCTGCTTCTATGTTAGGAATAACGTCCTCTGGTTTTAATTTATTAACTGTTACGTTAAAATTTAGTCCTTTCTCAAGTACTTTTATCTCACTAGAGCTTAGTTCTCTTGATGAGAGGTTGATCACCCATTTTGTTCTGTCGATAGAGGATGAAGTGTTGACATCAATTTCATTTGTTGTGTTCTTTTCTTCTATTAGTTTGTTGAATTTTTTGATTTGTGTGGTTTTTGATTTTCTTAAGGCTGATTCTCTAGCTTTTTCGGATGTTTCAACAACGATTACATAATCTTTGTCATTGACCATACATTTGAGTTTCTGTTTGAGTTTTTCGATTTCATTTCGTATATTATTTAGTTTCACAGTAACTCGATGTAGTTCTTCTCTTAGACATAATCTACTGAGATGTTCAGCTGCTGATGATATTTTCCTTGAAGCAATTGGAGTGCGTATGCGTAAATATTTTGGAATTATATGATTTTTTAAACATCTACTATTAAAAATCCGGTGGTTTGTGAATCTTGCTTCTGTTTGACAAAGTCGTGTGAGTTTATTGATAAGCTTCCTTATAGGAAGACCATATGTATTATTGATATAAGTATAAAACTTGGGCACTGTGGTAGAGTATAATTCCATTATAGATAAGATTTTATTTTGATAAATCGCACAGTGTTTACAGTTATATGAACTGATGACGTTTCGAGCACAATTTATTGCTCATAATCATATCAAGGTAATCACACGACTTCCTAAATTCATTTATATAGTTCCATTGTTTTTCTCTTGATTTTCACTTGATTTGATTGGTAATAGTATTTTCCATATTTCAGGTATGAGTGACGAGTCATTCCTATTGCATGTGTTGGGTGTAGACTCGATGAACAAGGACTTTAATTCGTCTCATCCTTTAACTGTTAAGGCAGGCTTAGTTAAATGTTTAACAAACCGAGCAGTGGCACTAAGTAGCACAAAAAAAGATCTAAATGATGAATTAAAACAGATAGAAGAAGCGTTGGTGTTGAATAACTATCCTATAAAATTCATTAGGAAGATCATTAAAGGCCAAAAACAAAATAAAAATAATTGTGAAACTAGTAATAATAACATAAATAAGAAAGAATATAAGTCATCCACAGTTATACCATATAAAGAGGGGACATCTGAGACACTACGTAGGATTCTGAATAAAATAGGAATTAGGGTGGCATTTAAACCTACAAACTCACTCAGGGACAAGCTCTGTAGGTTAAAGGACCCAGTTGACCCAATTAGACAAAATAATATTATTTACAAAATACCATGCAATGACTGTGAGGTCAACTACATAGGTCAAACTAGTAGGTCAGGGGTAGTCAGATTGTCAGAGCATAAAAATTTAGCTAAGGTAAGAATGGTTGACCCCGAGAAGATAAATAATTTAGAAAAAAGCTCAGCAATTGCAATGCATGCGCTAACACACAACCACACAATAGGGTGGGAGAGGGTTAAAATTCTAAAAAGTAATCTAGGTAGGTGGAGAGAGAGGTTGATTACTGAGTCCTTGTTCATCGAGTCTACACCCAACACATGCAATAGGAATGACTCGTCACTCATACCTGAAATATGGAAAATACTATTACCAATCAAATCAAGTGAAAATCAAGAGAAAAACAATGGAACTATATAAATGAATTTAGGAAGTCGTGTGATTACCTTGATATGATTATGAGCAATAAATTGTGCTCGAAACGTCATCAGTTCATATAACTGTAAACACTGTGCGATTTATCAAAATAAAAATCTTATCTATAATGGAATTATACTCTACCACAGTGCCCAAGTTTTATACTTATAGGGATTAAATATGTAGAAATAGTAAAATGATAAAATAAACGGGAACTACGGATATGAAAAAATAGTAGTGCAAACAGGGATTAAGAGAAACTTAAAGTTACATGAATAAACAGAAAGTTTAGATGAAAAAGGCGACTGGATGGTCATTATTAAAAGAATTACCTTTTTATGATAGCCATGGCAGGGAGAGGCGTTGGATAGCTAGTGCCTCGGCTATGCCCAGATGTCTAAATTTCAATCCCTTTGATATGTTTGATTGAATCTTGCATATTGTTTTGAAGGGATTTTGAAGGGCTCTGAATGTCCTGAATTGACCAGATGTTCTGTCACTGAACTATACGCACGTGTTTGGTCTCGTTTTACCAGCCAGGCTGGAAAGTGTTCATGAGCGCGTTATCCAAGTTGGCGGATAGTACACTGCTTACACCACCATATTTATATATCCAAGCTTCCTGTTTATTTTGTCATTTCACTAATTCTACATATTTAATCCCTGATTGCATAAACAATTATTCATCACATTAGTTTTCTCATCCAAACATCCTGTCTATCTATTTTATTATTTCTACATTTCTAACCCTTAATTGCACAATGTCAATCTTCTTAGTAATTATGATGCTACTTTGTTTGAGTTTTATCCGTCCCCCTCGCTCTGTTTATTATGGCATTTGAATTCCTAATTGTAATTTTTTATTAATTTGACTCTTAACCGCAAAATCATTCAGGATCCTTCCCATCCATTTGATATAAATACACGAATGTACAGCCTAGATGATGACTTCGTCGAGGAGAAAATTTTCTTCCTCGCGGAAACTCTCTTCTTAATAACTCCTAAGACCCAGTTTCTATAATTTGGGTACACTCACATCATATTCATAAAGAATTTTATGGACAGTATGAGTTGCATTTCCAAGGAATAATTATCAGTTTGTTTTGTCGGTTGCATGTGAGAATCCATCTCTGTGTCCCTCAAATCTATGTACATTGATGCACTTAGTTTAAGTGAAAGGGACATATCCAAGCTTGTTTACCAGAGTAACAATACGACAGTGCATTTTTGTGGATGTCTGATTAGTTTTATGCGCCTACGTGAAACTGCAATGGAGAGAACTTGCAGAATTATTGGTAAGAGCTGGTTGACCACACCATGGTGCACTTCGTTACATGCGAATTCAACGTAGGACACTGTTCTCGATTAGTAAAACAAGAAGTAAATCAATTAGTTGAAAATTTTCTTCCTAGCTTAAACTGGATATCACAGAAACTGCGACCTAATTGGCAGTCAGCATTGTGTTTCACTTTCTTCTCAAACTCCAAAATCATTTTCCCCTACAAAGAAAACCTTTTGATGCTTGCCGAGATGTGAGTGTGTTTTCAAATTCACATATATATAAAAGTTCAATGAAATTACCGAAGATATTAATAATATTTTGTCTACTTTATTATTAGCAAACTTTACGAATTATAATTCAGAAGAAGCAGTGAAATATTGTTATTGAATAAGCCAGTGTTAATTTATGAATTGCGAAATAAATGTTGAGATTTATAGAAGCAAAAATTCACCACACGACAAGTTTTGCACTGATGAAAGCGGAAATCACTAATTCTACTGGAAGAAAAATTGTCTGTGCATATTTTGTCTGCAATCCTTTACACAATCAATTGTCTAACAGACTCCAAAACCAATTCCAGACATAATCAAATACGTCTATTGAAGGGGATGAAGGATCTTCTGAATCAGTGTTTGCAGGTGCATCTGTTGGTTTTGAATACATTTTATATACCGGTACAGTGAATGATTCTCCACAAAGCTTCTGTTGATCAATCTGTTTCTTGTAGTCATTTTCAGGATGTTTATTGAACGTATACATATACGTTTGGAGATCATTTGCATATTCTGCAGGACAATCGACAAGTCTTAAATGCTCATTGAAACAGAAGACTATTTCATCGAGGAAAATTCCATCAAACTAGAAGAAAATGAGGAGAAGAACAGGAAAACAAGAAATAAGGTCTTCTTATCCATCGAACTCACAAAGACAGCCAATTTGTCCATATAAGTCGCAGTTGTGATGCGAAATTCTACTGACATTCAACAGCCTACCTCATCGATTCCACTCAAAGTCTGTTACCGTTTTTACAGGACATTTAAATATGATGGTGAAATAACAATGTTGAAATATTTTGGATCTACTGTAGATGACGATAATAGATGACAACAGGCTGAATACCTACGTCCACAACCTCCCTCTTCACTGGCTTCCTACTGAAGTTCGCATGTGTCCGAATACAGTGTCTCAACAGGAAACATGAAGTCTGTCACAGAAGCAGCCGTCAACCTATCGTTTAACAAATATCCACTGATGTAAATGATGATGGTTCGGGTATCACTTTCTCTGAAATGGAAATGAATGTCTGCCTGTTGTGAGCGAATGTGTAGCCACTTAAAAGTGACAACGGTTAACATAGTACAGCAGAGATGTTCCACTCTAGATGCTAACAGTGAACAAAGAAAAAATTTAAAGTAAACAATCTCAATGTATGAGAAAGTTTTGAAATTCAGCTGAATTGTAATTCTAGAATCATCTATGATCACATAAATGTGAAAATCATTGTGCGTTTGTCGTGTGACACAACACAACACGGCTGTGTAGGCGAATATCATCACATTGTGTATACGCCTTTCCAGTGTATCCACGCTTAGATATCGAATCGTCATTTGACTACTAATTCGCTTTCTCCATAAGAATTACCCAGTTCATAACAAATTTTAGGGATTAACATGATCAGTGTGAGGGTCATCTGTCCTCACAACACAGACATAACCATTTTTTGTTGCCGCCATAATGAATAAAGAAGAATTTATGCGAAGCAATATCACTTGTTTCTCACCTCATCAGAAGCACAGATCAGCTTAGGCTGAGCATGATACTTGTTCAACAACGAATGCTCAAAATCTTCGGTCTAATCAAATTAAAAGATAAAAAATGAATTCAGAGAAAATCATAAGTACTTTATCAAGAAATAAAAATAAAATTGATTGAATATCCCTGAAGAAGTATCCTCACGTCATACGCGGTATTCTGTTAAGCTTTGGATCACTAGAACATCGACACACTCTAGTACACAATAACTATACATGAGATTGTCGAGGCGAAGTCTACTCCTCCCTCGTGCTATTCATTCGTCTGTACCAACTAATTCACCGATATTTAACAGAGGCGACAGATTGAAATGTGTCTGTTAGGAAGACAATCACTGACTGACTGACTGACTAGCCGATTAGAATTCTAATGCATCCAGCTCACCAGCCCAAACAGGACGACACGGGTCTCCTAGATTCCACTGATGACTACCCATTAACTAAATAACGTCAACATTCTAGCAATAAATGTTGTTAACATGCCAGGTATTTGATAGATTCATCAAATTCCAGTGGAACTCTTCATGTAAATACTCAACAAACAGGCATATATCGATATGCCATCGGAAATAATTACATTAGGGGATATGAGACTTATAAGGAACTAAACTACACTGAATCTATCATACAAAACGACAGGTTTGAGTGTTGTTCAGGTCATATACAAATCGATAAGAGAGAGGGAGCATGAGAGTTTAAAATCAAGAAAAAGTGTCTAAGGGCGAACATTATCATCGGAAGGATCAATCGCTCAGCATTTATGACACCTCTGAAAAAACAAATTAACATTGATGAATATACAAACGGAAATGCCGAAGTAATTGGATCAGGGATGTCAAATTGATGATAACGGCCTGTTAAAATACACTGATCACCATCCCTCATGACACATGAGCTTTCATTGACAAATTCAGAATAACAAATATTGTCACACTGGTTATGTGAATTATCGCGGAATTTGAGGAAAGGCTTCGAAACATATATTGTCTCCGATTCATTCCACTTTGTCAAGAGAATTGAGCATCTCTGTGTAACTTGTAAACATATTGTCTTTTTCCATGTTACTTCCCTACTCACACATCTTCCAGTCATTAAGAATATTGACTCTGTGTGTAAAGGAACCAATGATTTACCTATTCCAACACCAGAATTGAGGGGATTGATTCTTTTCTGTACTGAAGATATCCGATATTTATTCAATGAGAGTCCGTTCCGCCAAGTTAATGGTGTTCCAGTGAGAGCACCTCTGGAACCACTTCTTGTAGATGTATTCTTGTCAGAATTACAGACTGGTATTTCGCAACACCATGCGCAACAACAAATGGAATTATATCTAAGACAATTTGATGATATTTTTTATTGTCTTTAACAGCAAGTCCGAAATTGAGAACTTATGGATAAAAATCAAATCATGCCACCCAAACAATAACTTCTCAACAGAGCACGAAGAAAATACCATCACGGAATTCCTAGATGTCACCATGGTGACAAAAACAACTGATGACCGAATGGAGAGGTATATAAGCCTAGAAAGACTTGCTAGACTGGGCAGAACATCCATTTCAGAAGTTTCGCTCCAATCAAATATATGGAAAGCACTTAGTCAGGTCACTGTTCACTGCAGCACACGAAATCTGTTATGACAGTACAACTGAAGATGAAATAAAGACTGTGAAGGATATTCTGCCTAAGAATGGATATTTTGAAAGCTTCATCGATCGATACGAAAGAAATAAACCCGTGTAAAGCTATCCAGTTGAACTGTTTCAGAGGAATCTGTATGAATCAATTAGACATGTAGTGGGACGGTGTACGAGAGGTAATCAAAAGAAGACTTGATTTAGCTATCAGAGAATTACAGTATGATACAGAACTCTTCCTCCTCAACACCATCTAGTGGAAGCTTCAACGATCTGGCGAAGGCCATTCGTCAGTAACCGACACATCAAAATACATATATCAATTTGAGTGTGCCTGTGCAAGCGAATACATCGGACGCAGATAGGGGCAGTTTTATACTGGCATGATGAAACATTTGCTTAGGTGGCTGGAAACGCGTGAGGTCAAAGTGCTTAAACGTTGAATAACAAAGCATCTTGTTGACTGTGGATATGATTTTTACGCCCTCAAGTCATTCATTCACTGCTGTCAGCAGACAGCTGAATCTCATTCGACACTTTTGAAGTCACATATTTTATACTTCAAATTCATTGCATAGAAATAAAATTATCTTACTGAGTAAGTTTCACCTTCTCTGATCGATATTCTGTCATTCATTGTGTTTGAATAAAGGGGAAATAAAACAGTGCCTCGTTAGTTCAGTTATGGATGAATGTTGTTTTAACTGATGCAATCGAACTGTAGTTATTGAATTCTGCAAGGTTAATGATTACATAACACACTTCTGTTAAGCTAAATCACCGGAAACTACTCTTGTTCAAATCACACTGGAACGCCTTGAATTCATGTCCAGTTTTGTACTCTATTCCTGGAGTTGTTTTAATTCAGTTATATTATTTCCATGTGCTTTCTTCAAACTATTTGGCTGATAGTGTTGGAATGGACATTGTCACTAAGCGGTGCATTTTTGTGAGTTGTCTGCTGAACATGACTGAATGAAAACGACATGTTGTTAGGTCATTCAACCGCAATAAATTGACTCATAATCCCGTTTTTTGAATAACTCAGCAGCATGCTGGTTACTTCCAGTTCTATACACCCAGACAAAACCTTGTATCACTGAAGTATTATATCGAAAAATTGCTGACCATTCAGAAGACAGCTCACACTTAATAAACATGAAAGTCATCGGTCACTAAAGCACCTACATAAATAGCTGCATTGATTTGATTGAACCCTGTCTTTTTCCATGATGAATCAGTTCTGCCTCCTGAACCAGCCTTTGGTTTCTTCTGGGTGTGGGGCAGGTAATGTGAGTAATGTGCTGTCTTCGTTTAGAGTACTGTGGGTTATGAAGTGCAGCCTTTCTAGTTCTAAGACTATCCTGTTAAAAGAAGTCTTGAATTAAGTATTATCCGACTACACAAGACACATCTATATCATATGCTTCAGTCTTGAATGAAACAATTTCTCTCACAGAATGCGTACGCGCATTTAACGGTGTGGTGACGAGTTGACATCAGTTAGAGAAGTATTAGGAAACTATGAGAAGGTATTGGACAACTGTGTCGTCCCAGTACTTGACATTGACTCTTCACAGTATGCACACACATCGACGGGGTCAGAACTCGAGACCTCCTGGTCACAGTCAACCACTAGGACCCTATTCGATGGTCATTTCATGAATTCCAACTTCTGCCAATTCGCAAGATATGCAACACAGCAAAACTTGCAGTATCATACGCGAGAAAGTGTATTCTTACCTTGTGACGGAAGCGCACTGCGTTCGAACCACTGTCAATATGCGCGTAATGGTGAAGAGTAAGTCTCAAGCACTGAGACGAAGCAACGCTTCCCATTACTCCCTGATGATTTAACAGGCTTCTCTGACTGATATCAACTCAGGTCATCGTCAAAGCTGTAACCAATCAAATCCCTGCAAAGCAACAGCTGATTATATACACATTTATCAGTCACATAATGTTTGTTTATAAAAAACCTTCTCATGCACAATCGGATGTCAGTAATTGAAATCAGAAATATGCCAAAGTTAGTTTCATTCAGCTTACGAATTAGGTGACACAATTTTGAACAGGTCTATGCCACGATTGAAATAGAGATATGGAGTTGGTCCATTACTGTCGACAACAGTACATGCTGCATAGTCTCTATACAGATGGTTGCTAGAAGCAAAAATAAACGACAAGGAAAAGACAAATATGAAGAGAAGACGTCAGTTTCAAAGTAATAATATTGATAACTCAGTTGATTCTGGTTAAGAGTATAATTCAGGGAGCATCTTTCGTCTTTTCCGAGATGAATTGGTCTGATAAACTTGTGTTTCGGAAAGAACGATTCTGGCGACAGTGACATC